CAAAATTCGTGGCAGGCGCATCACTTTCGCAAGGTCAAGTACATAATTGTGGCAGGTGCAGCACTTTCGCAAGGTCAAGTGCAAAATTCGTGGCACGCGCAGCACTTTCGCAAGGTCAAGTACAGATTTTGTGGTAGGCGCAGCACTTTAGCAAGGTCAAGCACACATTTGGTGGCAGGCGCAGCATTGTTGCAAGGTCAACTTTCGCAGCCGGGGCTCGAAAATCGCAACTTTTAAGTACGAAAGTAGTACGCGAAGTCAACTTTCGCAGCTGGGGCTTGAAAATCGCAACTTTTAAGTACGAAAGTAGTGCGCAAAGTCCACTTTCGCAGCCGGGGCTTGAAAATCGTAACTTTTAAGTACGAAAGTAGTACGCGAAGTCAACTTTCGGGGATTGAACATCGCAACTTTTAAGTGCAGAGAAAGATGGACTGATAGATAGATCAATAAACAGATATAGAGATAGCTAGAGAAATAGATAGAAAGAGATAGAGAAACAGAGATGGACAGAGATAGATAGATTTGTAGATAGATAGACAAATAACTAGCTAGATAGATAAAGAGATAGAGAGATAAATAAATAGAGAGGTAGATAGATAGATAGGAGATAGAGAGGGAGATTGTGGATATAATCGCAACTTTTAAGTACGAAGGTAAGCAGCGAAGTCAACTTCAAAAAGGGGAGAAAGTCAACTACGAAAGTAGTGCGCAAAGTCCACTTTCGCAGCCGGGGCTTGAAAATCGCAACTTTTAAGTACGAAAGTAGTACGCAAAGTCCACTTTCGCAGCTGGGGCTCGAAAATCGCGACTTTTTAGTACGAAAGTAGTACGCGAAGTCCACTTTCGTAGCTGGGGCTCGAAAATCGCAACTTTTAACTACGAAAGTAGTACGTGAAGTCCAGTTTCGCAGCTGGGGCTCGAAAATCGCAACTTTTAAGTACGAAAGTAGTACGCGAAGTCAACTTTCGGGGATTGAACATCGCAACTTTTAAGTGCAGAGAAAGATGGGTAGATAGATAGATCAATAAACAGATATAGAGATAGCTAGAGAGATAGATAGAAAGAGAGAGAAAGAGACAGAGAAACAGAAAGAGAAAGAGAAAGAGAGAAAGAGAGAAAGAGAGAAAAAGACAGAGAGAGAGAGAAGCAAGGGGCCAAGGACAGTTCTCCAAACTATAGTTGTTCACTGCTTTGAAACTTCCGCCCCCCGGCTCTGCCGGACCTTACTTGTATGAAAGAATTTTGAGATCTTAAATTCTTAAAATATGAAATCTTAGAACCTTAATTCTTAAACCATTGAAACCTTAAATTCCGAAAGTCTTCAAATCTGAGATCCTTAGAATCTCAAAGTTTTTAGAATTTTAAAATCTTAATATCTACTCATCGGACTTACAGGAAAGGGAAGTGACAGAAACCCTCATGTCTTTGAATCTTCAGATGTTAAAATTTTAAAATATGAAATTCCTAAATTCTCAAAATCTGAAAATCTCAGAATCTTAAAAGCTTCAAAAACTTAAATTCTTCCAATCTCGAACTATTGCAGTCTGAAAATCTTAAATTCATAAACAAATAAAATATTATAAAATTCCTTCAATACGGGCTATTTTCTTCTAAATTCCTTAAACTCTTATATCTTAAGATCTTAAAATCTTAAATTCCGAAAGTCGTCAAATCTGAAAATCTCACAAAAAATAGAATCTTAAAGCCTTCGAAATCTGATAATGGATGGTAAATGGCTAGGCAATAGCCTAGTTGTTATAACCTTCAAAAGCCTTAAATCTTCGAATCTTAAAACCTTAATTCTTCAACCATTCAAACCTTAAATTCCGAAAATCTTCAAATCTAAAACCCTTAGAATCTCAAAGTTTTTATAATTGTGAAATCTTAATATCTACTCATCGAACTTACAAAAAAGGGAAGTGACAAAAACCCTCATGTCTTTAAATCTTCAAATAATTAAATCTTAAAATATAAAACTCCTAAATTCTCAAAATCTGAAAATCTTAGAATCTTAAAAGCTTCAAAAACTAAATCTCGAATTATTACAATCTGAAAATCTTAAATTCATAAACAAATAAAATATAATAAATGTCCTTCAATCCGGGCAATATTCTAAATTCCTTAACCTCTTAATCTTCAAATTTTGAAGTCTTAACATCTTAAAATCTTAAATTCCAAAAGTCATTAAATCTAAAAATCTCAAAAAACATATAATCTTAAAGCCTTGGATGGAAAATGGCTAGGCAATGGCCTGGCTATTATAACCTTCAAAAACCTTAAATCTTCGAATCTTAAAATCTTAATTCTTCAACCATTAAAAACTTAAATTCCGAAAGTCTTCAAGTCTAAGACCCTTAGAATCTCAAAATTTTTAGAATTTTAAGATCTTAACATCTACTCATCGGACTTATAGGAAAAGGAAGTGACAGAACGGGCAGGGCAAGGTGCCCGGTGGCCGGCTGTGTCGCGTCAGCGTGTAAATCCGGGCGCCCCGAGCCCGTGGTTTCCCCACCCCTCCTCCGACTCCACCATGCATAGTTGGCTTGGATGGCCTGCGCGCCCCCGCTGTACAGCCAGCTTCCATCGCCTTCGTTCATGCACCTGGGGCGGGGGGCACTCCGCCCTTTCCGCCCCTGTCGCTCCGGCCGCCACCCCATGATCGCTCTCGAACTTCTCCATTCTCCATGGGATGAAGTCTGATGTTTCATCTCCTCGCGGTAGAGCCTCTCCTGCTTCCACACGAAGACCCGGGTCTTCAACAGCCCAGTCAAGTAGTCGGTGAACTTAGCGGTGACCGCCTTGCCCTCCGCGGTGGTAGGAACTCCCATGATCAGATCCAGTCCATTGAAGGAACCTCTCGCGAGGATTTCTCTCCACCGCTGTCTCCATCTGGAGCAGCCATCGAACCAGGTACTCCAGCATCTCTGGCAGTCATGAGGATAATCATCACTACGCATCCCCAGCATCTCCAGCAGCGATGATCATAATCATGACTGCGCATCACTTGATGACAATAGGTTCACTCCACGTTCACTCCGTGTCGAACGGAGGCTGCATTCACTGCTAAGTGGCGAAGGATTTGTGAATTTGTTCAGGCGATTTTTGACGACTTGTTGAGCATATCACCTGCATCGTCCGCATCCATGGCGGACATTGATGCGGATAAGGCCGGTGATGCGGGGGATGCTGGGGATGTTGTCACCTGAGTCGGGCCAATTTTGCCGAGAACGTGCAAAAACACAGTGTTTTTGAAGGTTTTTGGCGGGTGCAAACGTGGAAAATATGGAAACCTGCTTAGCAGGCAGGCTTCAACGGTCCCGGCCGAACGCGATTTTTGGTCGGCTTTTCGGTGAACCGCAGAAAAAAACACTGTGTTTTCGATAGTTTTGTATGGATTCAAGGCCGGAAACCTGCTTAGCAGGCAGGGCTCACCTCTCCCCGGCCGAACCCGATTTCTGGCAGCGTTTTTGGCGAACCAATAGAAAAACCGAGTGTTTTTGCTGGTTTTGTATGGGTTCCAGGCCGCGCGGTTGCGAAAATCATGACAGCACGTGGAAAACTTTCGGGGCGCCCGGCTGTCAGGCGTAAGCCCTTAAATCCGGCTACGCCTCCTGGGGTAGCATGTCGCCGCTAGCTTTAGCTATAGCAGCTATAGGGGCTGCACCCTGGTGCCGCCGACCCTCGTCACTTGGTCGTGATGCGTGGCCAAAATCCGGCACCTCTGCATCACCAGCTCGGGCTTGCGGTTTTGCTTGCCTGTGGGAAACCCTCGCAAAACATCGCGTATATGCAGGGTTTAGGCCATGTGGCTGACATCATCAAGGTCTGGGGTTGGGCCTGGTTGATGCTTCAGCAGGGCTTGGTCTGCATCAACAAGACTTCCTTCCACAAAGCCTCTCAACCCAAAAAGCACTGTTTTTTAGAAGGTGTCGGAGGGATATAAGCGAGGCTCATTTTCGCGCATTTTGGTGCCAAGCGCTGCCGGGCATGCCGGCGATGCTGGGTCCTCGCTCTATAAAACGCTGTAAATACCGTCAAAAATTGCTGTGCTGAGCGGTGGGCTATTGTTCTGTCCGTTTTGCTTTTGCTGTGGCTGGCTCGCGTGCTGCGCGGTCCTTGCTTTTTTCGCGTTGGTTTCGGGCCTTCTGGCGCGCGCGCGCGCGACCCCGGCCACAAAACGCTGTTATTTACGGTGTTTTGTTGCTTTTGCGTTTCCGGACTGGCTTGCGGGCTGTTCATTTTGGGCTGCTGTTTCTGCGGCCTCTGGCGCGCGCGTGCGCGAGACCCCCATGTCAGCCTTCTGGCTTGGGTCCCTGCTAGGGCCCAGCATCATCTCGGATTGGGGTGGGCAACATGCATAACCTAACCAGCAATATCATAGCACGGGATACGTTTCTCATACAAAAAACATGACATGACATAACTTCAAAGAGGCGTAGCCGGCTAGAGGCCGCAGGCCCTGAAAATATCCATCATATATCTTCCTATCCATCATCATCATCAACGGCCAACACATGTATGCCCATCGGAAAGGGCCGTCTCCCACGCACCAATTTTTTATGTGTGTATATTGACGTATATATTTGTACTAGGCTATTCATACTTGGCATGAGGTCGGTTGTGTTTTGATCTAAAATTAATTCCTGAGTGAGTGAGACCAACATTATCACAAAGCGCTAGCGGCAATCTATCACGCATGTTGCATGAAAGCCACAAAGACACACTCGTACTTCGTCAACCAGATCGAGCCAAGCGCTCATCAAGCAACACGTAAGAAACCAGATTTCACGTTTTGAACGGAGTTTTATTTCATTTTCTCAGAAAAGGTCTTACGGCAAACGTAAACCTTGCTCGCTCAATCAGGGGGATCACGGTCTGGGCAATTGTTGGTCCACGAAACAACACCAAGATGAGGGCTCACCTCCTGGCTCGTTTCTGTTGAGGGGCATCGATTTGAACCATTGGCCCCGCTGGACACGCTGCCCGCCAGCAGTGAAACACTACAAGGTTGGCTCCATGGTGGTCAGCATCTCTTCCACCCTGGCAAAACCATCTTTCACTGTGGTGTCCTAATTGTGGGGAAACTTACTTGCCCATTGTAGCAAACGGAAATCCAGGCCATTGTTGCTTGTGATTCATCTTTCTAATGTGGGTTGTCCACCAACCAATAAGTTAGCCCTGCTTTGGAAAGCATCGGACCAAAAGGAACAAAGAAAGGGAGAACACGCATCGAACCAAAAGGAATACACAAAACACACCACTACGCAGCAGCTTCACGCTGGTGTGTGTTCTCAAATGTTCTCAAAATGGCGCTAACAAATTCTACATTTGACACACACACACATCAAAATGGCGCTAACAAATTCTACATTTGACACACACACATCATATCTGTGCATGGTAGCCGATCAGCTTCACCTATGAATCGGGTTAGAACGGGGGAACGTGTTAAGCAAAGTCAAACTTGACCGCCGTTGAGTGACTCTGGGGTGTTTGATTGTTCTGATTGAAAGTCATTCTGACGTTGCCCCTCTCGAAGCCAATAAGTGACAATCACTGAGCGCAGGCGAAACTTCGCGATTTTGGAGCCCTGACGTGGCCTGACGTAGATGTCCTCCACAAAGCCGCGGTCACCATCTGAAACTTCCCAGTTGGCCGACGCCTGCGCGTTGCGAGGCTCGATCGAGGATGTGTGCGAAACCAGGGCTGGCTCCTCAAACTATGGAAAAGGGGTACGGTGTTTGTTTTTGCTTAACCCTGTCTTTTGCTTAACCCTGTCTCCGTTCTGGGGCTCAGTTTCATTACCCGGAGCTACTTGGTTGGGACACGCTCTGGACAGTAAGAGTGCAACAGTTCTCGGCATTTTGGCCTTCGGAACCGATTTCCGGATGGGGCATTAGTCACTCCATTGCCTGGCCCCCCGAAAGAGCAGCACACAAAGCCCACTCTGTTTTGGACTTCGGGACCGACTTCTGGAGAATAAAAGGCACGAGAAATTCCAAAAGTTCGCGCGGGGGGTGTCTCTCTTTTGCTGTATGTTTGGCATTCACAAGTCCACTCTTAGCCATGCACTCCCGCTGGTGCTGGCAAGCAAAAGTACAACTTTAGGGCGTCCAGTATTGAGTTTCCATGTGCACCCGCTGGTACTGGCTGAAGCCTCGTGCCTAGACACAATTGCTGTAGCGGAGCAGTGTCTAGGCACCAGGCTTCAGCCAGTACCAGCGGGAGTGCATGGCTAAGAGTGGACTTGTGAATGCCAAACCTACAGCAAAAGACACCCCCCGCGCGAACTGGCGGCCCAGCATGTCAAATGATGATAATTTTGGTGGCTTTAATTTCTCGTGCCTTTTATTCTCCAGAAGTCGGTCCCGAAGTCCAAAACAGAGCGGGCTTTATGCGCTGCTCTTTCGGGGGGCCAGGCAATGGAGTGACTAATGCCCCATCCGGAAATCGGTTCCGAAGGCCGAAATGCCGAGAACCAACCAACGAACCAACCAACCAACCAACCAACCAGCCAACCAGCCAACCAGCCAACCAACCAACCAACCAACCAACCAACCGGGTTGGACAGGGCTAAGCAAAAGACAGGGCTAAGCAAACAAAAACACCCATTGCATGGAAAAGCCAGAGCCGAAAAAAACAAAAAAAAAGTAACTCCAACCCAACGGCGCTCTGTCTGGCCCGAAAAACGACCCCAAACAGAAGCTAAAAATGACCGCGGCCTGCGTAGCTATGCCGCGCAGACACGCGTTTGAGGGATTTTGCCCAAGCTCGGAAAGCGACGTTTCACGCTTGGCCGAGCCCGGATGCGAAGGAGAGAGTTTGGCCTTTTTCTGCCCGCCGCGGAGATGGCAGCACGAAATTCTGCGAGCCTTGCAATTTCTGGCGGAAGCGGAGCAGCGGCGCTTGGCTTTCGGGGCTCCAAGGCAGGACGACCCACCACGCCTGCTGCGAAAGCAACGCAAGCTCTCCGTGATTAACGCCTATTTAGGGACCAAACTGGAACCCAAAGGCATCCGGCTCTACTTCGGCCACCGTCTACCACTTTGCCACGTAGCACCGTCAGACACGGTCAAATCAAATTCCTGCTGGACACCAGTCAGGTTCTCAGACAAGACAACCCCTAAGCGGTCAAATTCCGTCAAGCAGCCACATTGAAACCAGCCAACCCCCCTCTAAGCAACGCTCTCCAGATGTTTCTAGAGAACCCCCGGGAAAGGTCAGCCCCAACCAAATTCTTCTTGTGGACCTCAAACTTCGCTTGGCCCCAGTCCGCTACCCTTCTGTAACTCTCTGCGGCTCTCGTTGAAGCTCTTGAAACCAATGTGGAAACGCGTGAACATGCGCGCACCATCTCTGCCGCATGTCGGTGCCGACTCACTCACTCAAACAAGCACCACACCTCAAGGCAAACCAAAACACGGTACCTCAAAGCCAGCAGGCCATACTGGTCAAGGTGGGCAATGCGGAGCGTTTACAAAAAACTCACCCATTAAACACTACCTTCTATATGAGAAATTCCCGCCCATGCCAACCCCAAGTCTTATTAGGGGAGCAAATGCTACACCATGACGAAAACCATCCAAATGACTTAGATTTCTGCTGCTTTGATTTCCTTACTCGAAAAAATTGGCATTCTGAGTCCTGAGTGATGTTAGTGCCCGGAAAGGGCCCATTTCATTTGCCTGTATCGTTGGGCAGCAAGTTGAATGGAGGGCTTTGGCAGCAAAACAAGATTGCAGGTTTCATGGCCCTTAACCTTTTTTCAGGATGATTCGAAGGGAAACCAAGAGGACAGTTGACAGGGAATATCCAATTTTTTGGCACACGCCCAGTTTGTAGGGCGTCCTTCGTTCCTTTTTTTTCCGTACTTAGGAATCAACTCAAGCATTGCGCAGGCGCGGTAAACAGTTGCTCTCCTGAAATACATTCTGGGACTTGACGGTTCTTCTGGGAACCCTTGCGGACCAGGCTGACTATTGCACCTGCGGCCCGCCAATGCAGCCAAATGAAATCCTGGACTGACTAGAAAGAGCCACCGTATTCTCCCCTTCCCCTTAGAGACCCTCTGAATGCTTTGGGCCCTGTTAAAAGGGGTGGTTTCCTGCCGCGCCCTGCTTTGGATGACGAGGTTTCCTCCGCGAAGTGAATGCTAGAAGACTTTGGAAGCTGCGCGCTTCCGCCCACCCGGCGCGCTGCAGCGTGCGGCATAGATTGCTGGCTTGCGCTTGTTCGGGCGCACCACATAGCGCGGCGCGCAGAGCGGAATGAGCTACGGTTCCATCTCTACAGTAAAAGTCCGACGATGCAGCAATAGCAATGCGCATGTGCCTTCCTGCTGCCGCCTGTAACCTTGTTCTTGAGGCGCCCTTTCTTGGTGTTGACGTCGCTTTCTGCGATGCGGTGGACTCACTAAATTTCTCAAAAGAGCTGGGGAGCAACGAATGAGCTCACCTAGTGCTGAGCTAGGACTGTGACTCTAGATTAGATCGCTTGCTTGGTGGGCATCGCTCTAGGTCCATAGATGTCCATAGGACCCACTTGGAAGCCGCGTGCAAAATGACTTGCTTCCTGGAGAGGACAAGGGAACAATTGAAATTCCCCACTGGTGTTTTGAGGTCGAAGAACCTCAGGCTTGAAGCCCTGCAAGGGCAAAACTGAATGCCTGTTCTTCTTGATTCTTGGGCAAGCTCCTCGGTTTCTTGCAGCTGGTTCCCTTGATTTGGGGCAGCTGCAGGGAACAGAACCGTGAACCTGTCTGAAAATGAGGGACTCGATGGTTGGTTGCCTCTTAGTCTCCCTTTAAGACCAAATGAAAGGGGTTCCATTCAAAAGCAACGCCCAGATGTCACCATTCCTGCGAAGACCCTCGGGCAAACCAGCAACTCCTGAAGGCTCGCCTCGTACAGGTTCCTAAAAGACTTCGTCAAAAAACCACCTGCTTCGTAAGCGGAGCCTCTACATCCGCTGGAAAGGATACGTTATTTCCGGCCTTAATGCACAAATCTGGGCTGCCCTCAGTCAGATTTTTGCTCAAAGTTTAACTTTTAGTGGCTTAAATGGAAACTACCACGAAACACCAAGAAGCTAAAAGGCTACGGGGTGGCTGGGAGCCACCAAGAAATGTGAGGGACTCTGCTGCTCTAGTTACGTTTTCAAATGCGCTCCAAACTATGTTAGTACGAATGCACAAGAAGCAGTCACAGTGATCCGGGACACGGGAATCAAAGACAAAATGTTCTGCGAAGCCCTGGTGATGTCCACCCAAGGCCTCAAACTGCACATCTGAACCCAGCAAGGAAAAGCAGCTGTGGGCTTGCCAGCCAAACAAGGCTTTTGTAAGGACCTGTGAGGACGGGCTGCTCCAAACAGGAAGGACATGGCGAGAAGTGAGATACTGTGCCACTTCATAGACAGTTGCGGGAAGCAAATGTTCAAGCATGCTGTAGTACGACGGCCCGGCCAATGCCTGATTTTCCGCCATTGCCAGTTGAATTCCACTTCAATCAGGCGCCTAAATCATTAAACTAAAGTTCTAGGGTTCTCAAAAACCAAAGACAGTCATAAAGTACAGGAGTAAACTCATAAAAATTATCCAACGACGCACTAAACAAAAAATGGTCTTATTGAGCCACCAACAACAAAGGTATATTTTTGGGTACAAGGTAATTATGTTTAACCATCGGTTTGTTCAGGGATGAACAAACGGAAACTCGCCTGCCACGGCATCCAGGCGCTGTCTTTGCACCGCGCATCCACCACCAGCTCGTCGGTGAGCCTGAACTCCTCAGACACATCGGCCGGTGCGAACTAATGCAACTTTCTGCGCGGTTCAAGATGCTGGGTTGGCCAATCCTAAGCATAATCCCTACTGGGAAGCCACTGCAAATGGGACCCTTTTTGGCATGTCAAGAGACAAAATGCAGGGGCAACAGGTTGGGTCAGATTGGGAAAGAAACAAAAGGGCCAAAGAGGACCCCAGCTGAGAATCTCAAGCGATGCCGGGGTTGGATTGTGCACTAGCCCAGGGGAAGCAACACTTGCTTCGTTGAAGACAGGGAAGATGGGCGTGTCAGGTCTTGGCAATGCACGCAGGTCATGGGTCTTGATTAGAACATTCTGTTGGGGGGAGGGGGGGTCAATAAGGAAAAGTCGCGAATTGGGGTCAGAACCGCAGTCTTCGCTCCTCCGTGATGACCCATTGCTCATTGTCCTGACATCCGAGCCGATCGCTCCGGACCAAGGGAACCTGAAGGCCTTTGACATGGGGTAGATCATTCGAGTCATCATCAAAACCCGGTATTGAAATTGTTTACCCAGAGCCATTTGTGGCTGGGATGGTGCCTGCCCTCCAATTGCCCGGGTTTTCATTGTGACTCAGTTGTTTCTGAAAGGAACCCCAGGCAGACCAGAAGTTTGTATCCTTCATTGACGCTTGGCCATGCCGAGTCTCGAAGCATTTTTTATGTTCTTCGTAAACAGTTCTTTGGGGACCTTTCTGAGCTCCGGACCCGGTTTGACCCGAAGACCAAGGATCAAGGTCATGGCTTGGGCGTCTGCGAATGCGTCACTCAGGTTACCCAGGCAATGAGTTGGAATGACCCCAAGCCATCTCGTGTGTGGTTTCCTTTAAGGGGACCCCTGGGTTCATTCCCAAAACCCGGAAGGTCATTGAGCAAGAGCATGTTGCTGGTTGCTGGCCACACGCGGAAGTGCGTCTTAAGATGCAGTTCCCAGTCAAGGAATTGCCTGGCAGGGAACGTGTCGGACTGGACGAGCTGAGCCTTTTCTTGGTCGGGCAGAAGAGACATTTCTGAAGTCCCGACATCAACTAGGGCTCACTGCGAAAGTCATGAGCTTCGGGAAGGGTATACGGGTGGGTATCAATGGCTACTGCCTGTTCATTTAAAGCCATATTGCGGGCTTCTCCTTGGCTTGGCAAATATCTCCAGGGAGCTGTCTCCCCAGTCAGCCCGATTTGGAGGTTCAGCAAAAAGACTGGCCCAGAACTTCTTTGCGCCTTTCTGGACTAGGTACATATCCATGCATGCAAAAGCGGCAGCGGATTCGGCTCGACCACTAAAAATGGTCTTCCCAATTTTGGAAGTTCGGCAAGGAAGGTGAGGTGCTGTACCCTGGCGCAGAAATCCGGAGATTTTTTGCGTCGCTCCGCGATCCAAACAGTCCTCCCCGTACCAAAGCGCGTAGCGGGGGACCTCGCCGTCCATTCTCTCCTCTTTCCTTGCCTCCTGGCTGACAGTGCCTTCAGTTTAGAGTTGGAGGCTGGGGTTCGGGCTAGTCCAAGGCAGAAACTCGGACTGGCTTTGCTCACGTGGGGCTAAGGGAAACTGGTGGGAACACTTGTGCACTTGCTTGCAAGACCAGGAAAGTTTTTGCAACCTGGACAAGAAGTACAAGTAGAAGTGGACCAAACATGGAAGCCTATGTTTGTCATCGAATTGGAATTGTGCTGCAGCATGACTGCTTGGACTCGGGGATGTTCGGGATGTTTCAACCACCCAGTAGCGACTCGAAAATGAGGTTTATGTCTTCTTGGGATCCAGGAACCCACCATGGGACACCGGGGCGGAGTCCACTGACGTCGGGTTCCTGAGCTCGGTTGGGGTTACTTTCGGCCCTGGTGCCTTTGGAACTGGTGCTTTGCGGGTTACCACGCGGCTACATGATATGAGCCAAAGGTAGACATCCGTCCAAAGAATATATCCACTGTGGCACAGACCCTTCCATGAGAGCAGGTTGGGCGTGAAAGTATACTGAAGCATAACACGGCTCCACGGGCGCTGAAAGTGCGCTCAGAAAACAAGGTGTATCCACCCGAGCTTTAGTGACGCCCCTATTGTTTTCCAGGTAGCATTTTGCAGGACTTTTGAGCTTGATCAATTTACTCCGTGGGTGATCAATGCATCGCTCAGGGCCATTATTTGGTAAGTGTGTTGGCTGGGATAGCACGGGTTGTCTGACCTATCACCGAGGTTATAACCACGCTTACTAACGTACTAAGTAGGTGTAGAAAATCCAGGAAATACGGCTGTGTGAGCTTGAAGGGAAGCCGACATGCAAATCACATGCTCTAGCGTGCCCGATTTTGACACAATACCAATTTAGGGACCCCTGGCTGCGCCAAAGGCGCCCGAAACGCGTTGCCATGTCGGGGAGCGAGCGCTCCTTGGCCGAGGCCCGGGTTTGCAGGAAGTACCTGGGCGACTCGGCGGTTTTTGGGCCGAACAAAGGGAGCTGTGCGGCTCCGAGTTGGCACTTCGGCTTCAAAAGAAAGCTCCAAAAGGGATTCCTCTTGGGGTTCAAGTGGATTTAAAGAAAGATTCAAGTCCGTGGGCGTTCCATAGAGACACCCATGCTGTTCCCAGCCGCCCGAGGACCTGTGGCCACAAAACGCTGGGCCGCTGTTTCTCTGGGCCCCATGAGGGTTCTTTGGCGAAACTCAATCAGCTGGTTGGCAGGTATGGATCCGATTTCGAAATTCCCTAGGGGCCACAGAAAACAATCACTTGATGTTGAAAAACTTCCTTCCCAAATTTCCAAGTTGGAAGAAGGAAACCCACTGGGTGTCTGGGGTTTGCGTTCCACTCACCGTGTTTTTATTTTTTTTCTTCGGGATCTCCCAGAACCGAACTGGGCCAGACGAAGGCGACAACTCTTTGTGCCTAGGGTCAAAGTTAAAATGCTACGCCCAATCAATGGCCAAAGTCCTGATCGCCAAGAAGGGTCCCCGATTTTGGGCAACACTCAACCAATGAAGCACCCCCGACTCAAAACTGAACTACCCTCTTCCAACAATCATTGTCCTCTTGAACAGGCAGTGCAAGTCACTAGCATTGCATGGAGAAGCCTCAACCCGCTTGGGGCGGGGTACCCCTTTCAGGGTACCTTTTGAAGTTTTCAGCTTTTGACCCAAGTTGGAAAACCGCCATTTTGGGGGGTTGAACCTTAAAGATTGAAGTTTTGACCCATGGACCCCCATTTTGCCGGGTCCAACTCCGGTCGCGTTTCAGCTCCGGGGAACCCGGGCGGGCGAGAGGCCAAGAGCCCGCAGCGCTGGTAGGTGCCCACGAAGGGGTGGGAGGCTTCCCTGCGCGCCCAGACCTGCGCCTGTCAAATCCCCGACCAAATCGCGATACCAAGCCAACAAAACACGCGAGTCAACAGCAGCAACCGAAGAAAATGACCCACAAGACACACAAACACCGTGAAACACAAAAAAGCGCTCGTGGCCTTTTGTGAGACAAATCGAAGAGACAAATGGAGGGGATTCCCTGGGAAATGGAAGATAACCCATCTGAGCCAGTGCCGTCTATGTCCAAGCAGATTAACTTAAAAAAAGACTCGAAGTCGACATGTCTTGAATAACAAGACAATCATGAAAATTTGATGAGATACAATTTTCAGATGCGTCTACTGTGTGTTTATTAATTCAGTTCAACACAAATCCGTTTGAGGGATGTCAAGACATCGCTCTGACATGAGATCACCAAGGCAGCTGATGACTCCTTCCAGCATGGAAGGCGCTTCAAAGAATATTCGAGCCAACCTCAACACGACGAAAGCACTATTGAACCAGGACGGACTTGACGGAAGCTGAGCCAAATTGCCAAACATCAAATCGCTGATCAACCACATGCGGCAGCGTGTCCACGTATGCCAAGCTTGAAATTCCTTGGGCCAGGCCCCCCCCCAAAAAAAAGCCATGCAGGTATTCCGGGGGCAGGTAGCCTTACTTACGAGCCTCTTATTTGGATACTGTTGCTGGCTACCTCGGTATCATGCTTGCGGACCGGGTACTTGTCCAAACAAGCCCTGCTGATCATGGGCATGCGGCGTGGGCTGCTACAATTGGCGAAATCTGTAGTTGGACCTTTATCACCCAACAAATACCGTGTCGTGTCTCTTCATCACCTGGCCCCAAATGGTGGTTGGGAGATTTAAGCTCCAAATGGGAAAGGTATCCCGCTAACTTGCAAGCCCGCACCCCACAAGGCGTTCATAGCCTACAGTCCATGCATCTTATGCAACAGACCAAGCGATCAAAGGTGGTCCCATATTTCAACAGGCAAACAAATGGGGGAGTGCCGAACGCTGCCAAGAGCATGGCACCACTTTTGCGCAAGTGCCACTGGAAAGCCCAAGGTCACGTCATGATTCCCCCTACCTGCTTGGAGGGGAGAAGAAACAAAAACGGAAAGATCCCAATCAACCATGTTTTTAGTCAACCCCTAAATGCCTAATGGCACAGGGACTTCAGGGGATTGAAATCGCGCTCCACCAAAATCAATCAACCAATTTCTGCGGGTCACGAAGATTCCGCCCTCGCCTCATCGGGACAGTCCATCTCCACAACCATGCTTTTCGCCTGCGGACAAGAAAACACATTATTGGGCTAAAACAAAACACGGATCAACGCTCAAAACCTGAGATCGGGTTTGCTCCCTGCCATCATGTGTTAGCATCAAGTGTTTCACCTGCTTTTGGGTTGTGATCCTGTCGGGCGCAGGCAAACTCGTGGGTTAACTTGGCGGCCGCTCGGGGTGTAGCAACGACTCATGCGGCATGAATCTCTACATGATCTGGTTCTTTTCGCCATGTGTGTGTGTGTGTGGGCTGCGTGTTGCCACAGTAGCCAGGACAAGACATGCCAACCATTTGGTGGGTGCACATGATTTGGTGGAGAAGCCATGAAGCGTTGAAGCCTTTAAAGGCTGCCACATGGTGCCACTGAACTGAGAGGGCGGAGTCGGAACCTGCCCGAGTCATTTGGCTCCATCGACTCGCCGATGCGACTGCGCGGGCCCGGCCTCTCGGAACTCGCCGTCCGGGCTGGCCACCTGGCGAAGGGCGCTGTGCCATAAGCCGTGGACGATTTCACGTCAAGGGCCTCGGTTCCCTACTGTGGACGAGATCCATTTCGCACTTTGAAAGGGGATACCATGGTTCGATGGAATTTGCAGGGGAGTCATAGGGCTTAGGTGCGAAATGGAGTTCGTCCATCCACAGTACCACAGTGGGAGCCCAACCGCCTCACACAAGATCTGAAGCAATCAACTCGTGCGGTCAACAATGCAAACAGGTGTGCACCCCGGCCCAGCAGACAAACTTTGTGTTGGCTGAAATGAGCAATGCAGGAACGCCTTGAACAGACTTTCCAGGAGCAATGCACAACGGAACTGTCAGGATCCAAGAGCCTGGTTCCCTCTCAAATATCACAAGGAAACTCACATATCATTGGCTCAAAAGATGATGTTTAAACCGGATGTAACCTAGGCTCGCCCTAACGCTGGAAAGGTCCGCTTCAGTGCCAATCACAAACAGCCCAACATCCGTACATCCCTCCCAACTTCCCAATTACCATGTGTTTCAATTTATCAAAACAAAGACAACCAACGAATTCCCGACATCCATCCAACGAATTCCTCACCTCAACCGTTTCCCCCCACGGTCCGATCCGCATCGCCGCCTCCCAGTTCACCCGGGCGCCGCGCAGCAACGCGGCGCCGCCGTGCCAGGGCGGCATGGTCTGAGGGCCGAAGCTGTTCGCATTTGGGTGTGTCTTGTTTAGGGGGACCTCCCCAAATGGGCAATCTCCTCTTGGTTTCCCTTTTAAACCTGACGAAAAAGGGGTACCCTCAAAAAAAGACACACCAATGTTGTCTCAAAGTGGCGGACGCCTTTGGTAGGGAAACCAAAAGGAAATCAACCCTAAAACTCACACAGTAAATGCAAACCATGGTCGCATGGTCTTACTTTGGGACTCTTACATCAACATTCGCTGGTTCATACTTTTCAGGTGGTTCCCTTCTACAATTCATAGCCAATGAGCCATTTTTCGTTTGTCTCCAAACCCAAAGGGTCCCTTACCAATGGTGAGGTGGCCAATGAACACCCTGACCTAAGGGGCAGCCTATGAAGGGCTCGCGCCCCAAACAAACAAATAGAAAAGGACCACCAACGACGTCACACGTTCTCCCCCGAAACGGAAACCCCCGACTTGAAAGGTCCCCCCCCCAAAAAAAACACACACACACACACACACACGAGAAAGCCATTGTGGCAGAGGGGTCCGATCTTCCATGTGAGAAGCAACGTCTCCAGTTGGAGACATATCAGTTGTCACGCTGATCTGAACAGATACTACACAAAAAAATGGGGGATAAGGAAGCAAGCCGCAGGGCTGGGGCCGGCGTTGATGTTTCTTCTTGTTCTTCTCCGAGCGGCGGCGAAGGGCGCAGCACCCAGCGCGGAGGCACAGGTGTTGCTGCCCAGATGCGCCTGACGGATAGGGCATGCATGGGCCAGTGGGCTATACTCACTTCTTCCGCGACTCCAAGAGCATTCACTCGTGCCATGAGCTGCATGCATGAACTGCAGGCCAAGGGAGTTAGATGCTGCGAAGGACTGCTTGATGGCCCAAAGGACCTGGACATAAAAGGTTCACCAAGATGGGTCATTCCCTTTAAATATCCACTAAAGGAATTTTGAAAGGACCTTCATGGGTGACTTGCGGGCAGAAACCTAGGGGGCGCCTTTGATTTCACGAGGAGGTTCGATTTCACCAATTCAGCAAAGTGATGGCCACCCACGGTTTTGCGCACAAGACACCAGCAAAAAAGGGGAACTTCTACAGGAAGGCCCCTGTTGGTGGGTATTTGGGTGCGTCTTCATTTCTTCAGGGCACTTTATTTTCGTTTAAGAAGGTCAAGAGACACCAAAAGGAAAACCACCAGTTTTTTGGGGGGAGGGGGTAAAGGGCCATCAAAAGGAAAACCACCATTTTGGAGGGGTCCCCTACGAGGCGCACCCAGTTGGTCCACCGGATTCCAGGCACATCGAGCCTCCCAAGGCCACCACGCACGGGACCTAGGCGGAGCTTCAAGCAGCCAAAGCCCCGAAAAAAGCTCAAAGTGTGGGCGCCCACGAGGAGATGGGCCACCTGGGGTCTCCATGACCCTTGAAAGATGGTTGGGCATCACCCAAAATCATGGGGTCATGGACCCGTTTTTAAAGGGTCATGGAGACTTGGTGGGGAGCTACCTGGGGTCTCCATGACCCTTGAAAGATGGTTGGGCATCACCCAAAATCATGGGGTCATGGACCCGTTTTTAAAGGGTCATGGAGACTTGGTGGGTAGCTACCTGGGGTCTCCATGACCCTTGAAAGATGGTTGGGCATCACCCAAAATCATGGGGTCATGGACCCGTTTTTAAAGGGTCATGGAGACTTGGTGGGTAGCTACCTGGGGTCTCCATGACCCTTGAAAGATGGTTGGGCATCACCCAAAATCATGGGGTCATGGACCCGTTTTTAAAGGGTCATGGAGACTTGGTGGGTAGCTACCTGGGGTCTCCATGACCCTTGAAAGATGGTTGGGCATCACCCAAAATCATGGGGTCATGGACCCGTTTTTAAAGGGTCATGGAGACTTGGTGGGTAGCTACCTGGGGTCTCCATGACCCTTGAAAGATGGTTGGGCATCACCCAAAATCATGGGGTCATGGACCCGTTTTTAAAGGGTCATGGAGACTTGGTGGGTAGCTACCTGGGGTCTCCATGACCCTTGAAAGATGGTTGGGCATCACCCAAAATCATGGGGTCATGGACCCGTTTTTAAAGGGTCATGGAGACTTGGTGGGTAGCTACCTGGGGTCTCCATGACCCTTGAAAGATGGTTGGGCATCACCCAAAATCATGGGGTCATGGACCCGTTTTTAAAGGGTCATGGAGACTTCGTGGGTAGCTACCTGGGGTCTCCATGACCCTTGAAAGATGGTTGGGCATCACCCAAAATCATGGGGTCATGGACCCGTTGTTAAAGGGTCATGGAGACTCCAGGTACATCATTGATATGTTCCATCATGACATTGGGTACTGCACCCATACCATTCGAATTTACTTGGTGGGTAGCTACCTGGAGTCTCCATGACCCTTGAAAAATGGTTGGTCACAAAATCATGGGATCATGGACCCGTTTTTAAAGGGTCATGGAGACTCCAGGTACATCATTGATATGTTCCATCATGACATTGGGTACTGCACCCATACCATTCGAATTTACTTGGTGGGTAGCTACCTGGAGTCTCCATGACCCTTGAAAAATGGTTGGTCATCACCCAAAATCATGGGGTCATGGACCCGTTTTTAAAGGGTCATGGAGACTCCAGGTACATCATTGATATGTTCCATCATGACATTGGGTACTGCACCCATTCGAATTTACTTGGTGGGTAGCTACCTGGGTCTCCATGACCCTTGAAAAATGTTTGGTCATCACCCAAAATCATGGGGTCATGGACCCGTTTTTAAAGTCATGGAGACTCCAGGTACATCATTGATATGTTCCATCATGACATTGGGTACTGCACCCATACCATTCGAATTTACTTGGTGGGTAGCTACCTGGAGTCTCCATGACCCTTGAAAAATGGTTGGTCATCACCCAAAATCATGGGGTCATGGACCCGTTTTTAAAGGGTCATGGAGACTCCAGGTACATCATTGATATGTTCCATCATGACATTGGGTACTGCACCCATACCATTCGAATTTACTTGGTGGGTAGCTACCTGGAGTCTCCATGACCCTTGAAAAATGGTTGGTCATTCACCCAAAATCATGGGGTCATGGACCCGTTTTAAAGGGTCATGGAGACTCCAGGTACATCATTGATATGTTCCATCATGACATTGGGTACTGCACCCATACCATTCGAATTTACTTGGTGGGTAGCTACCTGGGGTCTCCATGACCCTTGAAAAATGGTTGGTCATCACCCAAAATCATGGGGTCATGGACCCGTTTTTAAAGGGTCATGGAGACTCCAGGTACATCATTGATATGTTCCATCATGACATTGGGTACTGCACCCATACCATTCGAATTTACTTGGTGGGTAGCTACCTGGAGTCTCCATGACCCTTGAAAAATGGTTGGTCCTCACCCAAAATCATGGGGTCATGGACCCGTTTTTAAAGGGTCATGGAGACTCCAGGTACATCATTGATATGTTCCATCATGACATTGGGTACTGCACCCATACCATTCGAATTTACTTGGTGGGTAGCTACCTGGAGTCTCCATGACCCTTGAAAAATGGTTGGTCATCACCCAAAATCCATGGGGTCATGGACCCGTTTTAAAGGGTCATGGAGACTCCAGGTACATCATTGATATGTTCCATCATGACATTGGGTACTGCCACCCTTATTCGAATTCTTGGTGGGTAGCTACCTGGAGTCTCCATGACCCTTGAAAAATGATTTGGTCATGCTTTAAAATCATGGGGTCATGGACCCGTTTTAAAGGGTCATGGAGACTCCAGGTACATCATTGATATGTTCCATCATGACATTGGGTACTGCACCCTTACCATTCGAATTTACTTGGTGGGTAGCTACCTGGAGTCCTGTGAGTCCTCCATGACCCTTGAAAAATGGTTAGTCATCACCAAAATCATGGGGTCATGGACCACGTTTTAAGTCATGGAACTCCAGGTACATCATGATATGTTCCATCATGACATTGGGTACTGCACCCATACCATTCGAATTTACTTGGTGGGTAGCTACCTGGAGTCTCCATGACCTGAAAATGGTTGGTCATCACCCAAAATCATGGAATCATGGACCCCGTTTTAAAAGGAGTCATGGGACTCCAGGTACATCATTATTAGTGTTCCATCATGACATTGGGTACTGCACCCATACCATTCGAATTTACTTGGTGGGTAGCTACAGGTCCTCCATGACCACTGTCAATGGTGGTCATCACCAAAATCGTAAGTCCATGGACCCGTTTTTAAAGATAAATGGAGACTCCAGTACATCATTGATATGTTCCATCATGACATTGGGTACTGCACATACCATTAAATTTACTTGGTGGGTAGCTACTGGGTCTCCATGACCCTTGAAAATGGTTGGTCATCACCCAAAATCATGGGGTCATGGACCCGTTTTAAAAGAGATCATGGAGACTCAGGTACATCATTGATATGTTCCATCATGACATTGGGTACTGCACCCATACCATTAAATTTACTTGGTGGGTAGCTACCTGGAGTCTCCATGACCCTTGAAATGGAGCCATATAACCCAAAATCATGGGGTCATGGACCCGTTTTTAAAGGGTCATGGAGACTCCAGTTCATCATGACATTGGGTACTGCACCCATACCATTCGAATTTACTTGGTGGGTAGCCTGGAGTCTCAGCATGACCCTTGAAAAATGGTTGGTCATCACCCAAAATCGCAGGGTCATGGACCCGTTTTAAAGGGTCATGGAGACTCCCAGGTACATCATTGATATGTTCCATCATGACATTGGGTACTGCACCCATACCATTCGGATTTACTTGGTGGGTAGCTACACGGGGTCTCCATGACCCTTGAAAATAGATTTGGTCATCACCCAAAATCATGGGGTCATGGACCCGTTTTAAGGTCATGGAGACTCCAGGTATCATTGATATATTTCCATCATGACATTTGGTACTGCACCCATACCATTCGAATTTACTTGGTGGGTAGCTACCTGGGTCTCATGACCTGAAAAATGGTTGGTCATCACCCAAATCATGGGGTCATGGACCCGTTTTAAAGGGTCATGGAGACTCCAGGTACATCATTGATATGTTCCATCATGACATTGGGTACTGCACCCATACCATTCGAATTTACTTGGTGGGTAGCTACCTGGAGTCTCCATGACCCTTGAAAAATGGTTGGTCATCACCCAAAATCATGGGGTCATGGACCCGTTTTTAAAGGGTCATGGAGACTCCAGGTACATCATTGATATGTTCCATCATGACATTGGGTACTGCACCCATACCATTCGAATTTACTTGGTGGGTAGCTGCCTGGAGTCTCCATGACCCTTGAAAAATGGTTGGTCCTCACCCAAAATCATGGGGTCATGGACCCGTTTTTAAAGGGTCATGGAGACTCCAGGTACATCATTGATATGTTCCATCATGACATTGGGTACTGCACCCATACCATTCGAATTTACTTGGTGGGTAGCTACCTGGAGTCTCCATGACCCTTGAAAAATGGTTGGTCATCACCAAAATCATGGGGTCATGGACCCGTTTCTTAAGGGTCATGGAGACTCCAGGTATCATTGATATGTTCCATCATGACATTGGGTACTGCACCCATACCATTCGAATTTACTTGGTGGGTAGCTACCTGGAGTCTCCATGACCTTGAAAAATGGTTGGTCATCACCAAAATCATGGGGTCGTGGACCACGTTTTAAAGGGTCATGGAACTCAGGTACATCATTGATATGTTCATCATGACATTGGGTACTACACCCATACCATTCGAATTTACTTGGTGGGTAGCTACCTGGAGTCTCCATGACCCTTGAAAGATGGTTGGTCATCACCCAAATCCTTGGGGGTCATGGACCCGTTGTTAAGGTCGTAGACTCAGGTACATCATTGATATGTTCCATCATGACATTGGGTACGCACCCATACCATTCGAAATTACTTGGTGGGTAGCTACCTGGAGACATGAAAAATGGTTGGTCCTCACCCAAATCATGGGTCATGGACCCCGTTTTAAAGAGGTCATGGAGACTCCAGGTATCATTGATATGTTCCATCATGACATTGGGTACTGCACCCATACCATTCGAATTTACTTGGTGGGTAGCTACCTGGAGTCTCCATGACCCTTGAAAAATGGTTGGTCATCACCCAAAATCATGGGGTCATGGACCCGTTGTTAAGGGTCATGGAGACTCCAGGTACATCATTGATATGTTCCATCATGACATTGGGTACTGCACTCATTCAATTTACTTGGTGGGTAGCTTACTGGAGTCTCCATGACCCTTGAAAAATGGTTGGTCATCACCCAAAATCATGGGGTCATGGACCCGTTTTTAAAGGGTCATGGAGACTCCAGGTGCATCCATTAAATCTGTTCCATCATGACATTGGGTACTGCACCCATACCATTCGAATTTTACTTGGTGGGTATGCCTGGAGTCTCCCATGACCCTTGAAAAAATAGGGTCATTTCACCAAAACCATGGGGTCATGGACCCGT